GGGGGGGGGGGGGGGGGGGGGGGGGGGGGGGGGGGGGGGGGTAGGGCGTTGATTTAGGTTACGGAGGCCCTGGCGGAGGGGAAAAGGCTGATTTATTGATTGCAAAGGAGTTGAGACGTCGCTTGAAGTTATGAATTGGAAACAGAAACGAAATTTGTGGGAGGGGGGAGGGAGGAGAATACGTTTATGCGTTTTTCATGCTCGGTCTGAAACTTGACGCTGAGGGGAAAAGTTAGGGAGGGGTCTTGAGAGCGATACTTGGAGCTTTGATGCTTGATGCAGTTGTGCTGTCATTGTTGTACCATTCCGCAGCAACAATGCAGTTGGCAGTTTTCCTATTCCTTCTTATCACTGCTGGCCTTTCTCATCCGCCTGACATGGCGCATTCGGTGCAGCGGGTGCGCCTACCGCAAAGGTGGCCTCGCTCGAGTTTGTTTTACACCACTTGGGTACCGTTCAGTGTTTCTTTTTGTCCCTTTGTTATCACGTATTCGCGCAACGTGGCCTGCGCAACTTTTCTTTCCGGCATACATATCTTTCATGCACGAAAGATTTCCCAGTTCACTGTGTTTGTGATGCCGCGCATCGTATCAGTAGCTCGTCGCTAGTTCCTGTTCTCCCGCAGGCGTGCTGTTGCATGTTTACAGCTGTGTAGTAATGAAAGCGGAATGAATGTATTGAACATCGTAGCTTTGACATGAGTTGGAGTGCTTCCGCCAGAAAAAGAAACACATCGCGACGGCGTTTTGCAAAATTTCTCCTGCTTAATTCCGCAGCAAAATCATTGTTCGTTTGTATTGCCCGGACAAGAGTCAGATTTCGCCATTTTCGCATCTCGAGACTGAGCCTAAAGACCACTGCGTATTTGTGTGGCTAAGTTGGGCCAAGTTTTAGTAGTTACGATTGAGGCTGTGACTGTTCGAAGTTACACCACCAGATCTGTTCTTGTCACTGGGATAGCGTTTCACCGGGAAAGGCCATTTGGCAAGTATGGTATCAGCGCTGAGTGTGTCCGCATATTTCGACGGGCTCTTGGCACCTAGCGCACTCATGAATTTTCTGGTATGCAGCGGCGGTTAATTGGGAGGGTTCCAATGACCATTTTGCTTCATAGGGAAGTCACGCTTCGCAAGTGACTTTTTGACTGCTGCATCTGAATTTTTCATACCGTCGTGACGTAAAATTTTTTATGCTTCAAAATTCATGATAAATTTGTTGCAGGGAGCAAGAAACATTCAACAAATTCAGTGAAAGAACCAATCTCTCCTTTTCTCAACTTCAGTTCTATGGCGGAACCGAAGAATTCCCCGGTAATTTCGGCAAAGTTCTCGTTTCATTCACCTCGCAGTACCATTCCCTGTGTTTTCGGGCATCACTCATTCATATTATCACTGTTTAATTTTTAACTGGTTTTGGTTTCCAGTCAAATTCTCGCGCTTTATTTCAGATTGTAAATTTGTTTTCGAAGCCCTTCGATGTTTTTTCCACGCATGCTCTTTTTCCGAAATCGGTGGACACTACTTCTAGCGGGAACGGGAGCCGCGAAATGCCTGTGATGGACGAACTGATCACCAGACAAATGAATATTTTAAAGGTTGCATTTTTTTTTACGCATTAATTTCTTTGTTGCTTTACAGTGCTTCAAGGCTGATTTTAAGATGTACGTGTTTCCATTTTCTCGTGCTAGAAAGTGAATGGATCTTCTCTCTGTTTGTTTGCGATTGCCATTGTTTAGATCCACCATCTTGTTGATGGTCCAGTGAGTTTTGTCTTCCACGTCTTTTACATGTGAGACGTTGACTGATATCTGCGAAACATTGGATGTTGTTCTATGTTTTGGCCGAAACGAATCGTGTAAGTAATAAAAAAGATGAAAAGGCGCTTCTCACTGGCCAAAGTAGTAAACGCTGGTGTAATTTTCATTTGTTTTCTTGCTTGAAGTGTGCAAATGAAAGGCACATTAGATTGGGAAGTATATCAAGTAATGGAACGACACGGTTTTGCTTTTGTGTTACTTTGTTAATTGTCAAATTTCAGCGCCAAGAAGAACTTCAGCGTCGTGCAGAACTTCTATATGAGAAACAGATGGCCAGGGAAACGAGAATTGAAGATAGCGTGGCGTCGCTTGGCAAGGCAGCGTCCCATCTCGAACAAATCGGAGAGTTCCTGCTTAATGCTTGTCGTTACGCTAGTCTTACTGGAGGCACTTTCAGCCCAAATAACAACACCTGAATTGGTATTTTGTTATATGGGCGACTTTAAATTCAGTTAACGTGTTTGATATTTGCTAAAAGACAGTATTCTGCATCCAATAATTGGAAAAATTTTTCGGAGCTCTCCTGTAGATAGATTTGTTCAGTCTTCATCTAATAATTTTGTGTTGCGTTTTTATAAAGCCTTCTACAACAGTGTGTAACTGTAGATTGAATGTGCACTTTTGTATTCGGCTGTGAGTCTCTCAGACTTGAAAAAGTTTTGTGTTTTTCTTTTCTTTCTCAAATCAAATTATTTTTGTAGCGGTCAAATTACCTTTACAACAGCAGTATTTTAGCAGCAAGAGACAGATATTTAAAATCTTGGTTCTTGTGGTTTGAAATTTTGCAAGCTGCGATAAGGCTGTCAACACTTTTTAGTGTTCTTATAACTGTAAAGCCTTTTTCGATAACGTATAACTATAGATTGAATGTGTATTAGGCTGGGAGCATATCAGACTTGAAATAATTTTGTTTCTTTTAAAAACAAATCAGTTTTATAGCAGTCGAATCATTCGAATTACCTTTGCCTTTAAATCAGCAGTATTTTGCAGAATGAGGCAAATTTTCCAAGTTCTTGGTCTTTTTTTTAGCTTGAAGCTTCACATGATGCGATTAGACTCTCCATACTTTTCAGTATTTTTTGTAATTTTGTTGAATCATTATCGTCACTTCATTTTCCGCATACACACTACCACATATTCACTTACTCTGTTCAGTTGTTTCCTCTTAGGAACTTAAAGATGGCTGTATTTGCACTTATTTTTTCCTGAAAATCTGAAGTGCCTGTTGTTTGATCATTTTTTTTTACGTCGTTCTTGCCTTTGTACCATTTCAACAGTCGTTTTTTGAGATGTCTTCGAATTATTGATTGTCACTGGTGGAACCCCAAAAGGTTCAGTATCACATATTCAATTAACATTGCAGGATATAAAACAGACATCCAGGACTGTTTTTTTTTTTTTAACATTTTAGTTCCCTCTTTTGATAACGGGAACAGTGTTAAGTATGTTCTGGATATGACTTACTCCGCCTGGCGAATTTTTTCGCTGTTGCATTTATGCCCATGCTAATTATGAATCTTCAGTTTTGATGTCACGCTCTGTGTTTATGGGAGCGCTTTTTTTTTGTATTATGCTGCGAAGTCTTGCCGAACATCTCTTGATGCTGCTAGCTCTTTTTTTTTTTTGAAATTTTCTCGTGGAATTTGATTATGTATGTTTAATTCTCAACATCGTCGTTTTTTATCTTCTCTCTGTTCCTGTCTCTGTCTCTCTTCTGGTAAGTTTGGTGGTTGTGTTTGAAGTTGTATCATCATTCTCGAAACATTTCATCATTTTTGTAATTTTCTCTTTCCTGGCCAATTTTCAGCTCAGTATTTCATTCTTCACTTGCCTTGTTTTTTATTACAGTCAGTTTACACGCTGGCTCTTCATCGTTCGTTTCAGGGGTACCTTTCGGGATTGGTGTATTTTTATCCGACTGTTAAAGTTCATTCTGCAGCGCTTGTAGTCTGTGAACATTTTTGTCCGTCTTGTAGTGTTTATTGGCATGATCAGATAGTGCGTTTTATGTGGTGTTATTTGTATGTGGGGGGGAGGGGGGATGAAATTGAAGGTGCTGGTCACTAATCGGATTCGGGGTCGATCATTCTCACTTTTAATCGTGTTTGAGCCAAGTGGATATCACGGCTTGAATTTAGCGCTGTTTCTTTTCCACTGAAGCAACTATCTCAGCTGTATATCGTTGGTTCGTTCTGCAGATTTTTGTTTGTTGCATCCGTATTTCCGAGGATAAATTTACTTTAGTTCCCGTATCCAGTTACTGCAACGGGTTTGGCGCCCCCGTCCCCACCCTCTTCGTTCTGATTATGCTACTGTTTATAAGAATTGGTTCTGTCGTATCCCAATTGACAGTTTGTTGTACCCCCCGCCCCTCCGACCGCCTTTGCATATTAAATTTTAAACATGTATCGTTCTCACTTGCCTTCGTCTGAATTTTGCCTTTATGTATATTTGTCTTTTTGCTGTGCCGAAGCAGTGAAATCGCTGTTGCGTCGTCCACCGTTCACTTACGTGCATCTCGTTTCTTCTTGCACAGAGATCATGTGTTCACAGTATTGAAATCCCTTGTCAGTCTTGCCAGTATATAGGGTTTTGGTGACGGTGTGCATTTGAAGTATCAGTTATCCTCGTCGCGAACATTTATTTTCATGTGCACTTAAAACCACGGATGTTCTGATAAATGGTTCGTACATCGACACAGACGTTTCGACAGACGCCGAAGCTTTTTACCGACCACATTCGTAATGACGAAAGGACGAATGAAAAGCGCCGAAACTGTGTGTTCTGTAGAAGTGCAGGGAAACCAATTACGCAGCAGTTCATCCTGACATTAAATTGGATACGGATGGAGTGAGTGACCGACAGCTGTGCCCGGGTAACTTGTGGGCATTTTCAGGAACAGAAAACCCAATGGCGTTCAGCGAATGGCGATCGATGCCACATGCGTCTCTTGAGAAGTTTCGTCTTACCCTCTCCACGTTGCACAACAAAACGTAGAAGGAATTATAAAAGCTCGGAACCTGACACACCTAGCGTTTGCATCATTACGGTGGAGATGGCATCTTGGCGTTCTGGGAGATACTCATTATGAATTGGGGGGATAAGTAGTGCTCCCAACTTGTTAAGTCAACAACTCCAGTTGCTGCCGTGCCACTGGCAAGCCGAAACTTCCCCTCTCTTCGCCTTTGATGCGTCAGTTTTCGGCCACACTTTCTTGGCACGTTAACTCCTGCAGTGTCTCCGGCACCTTACGCTTATTCGTGAAGCGCAGTTGCTTCCCGTCATTTGCGTCCAAGCCAATTTCTCATTATTTTTTTCTCGAAATGCCATCTCGAAAAGTTGGTGAAAAGTCCTAGCGATATCGGCTGTCTTGCCTCTGTCCCCTCCGAACTGAAATCTAGAATGAGACAGGAAAGAAAAATATATCTATGTACGTATGAGGGCGACCATGCAGCAATACTCTGCCATCGGAGCACAATATAGACATGTCTAAACCCAGGCTGGAACGCACCAGACGAGCCGGTGCGATCATGCGTTTTTGCACCAGACTTGAATAATTAGGTTAACTGCATGAGTGGCTATTTCTTTACACCTACCTTGTGCTCTCAATACCGCAACTCACCGTAAATTTTGCA